TAACTGCAAACCTTTATTCCTTCAACTTTCTTGTTTTGCTTCCCATTGGTTCCCTCCTGTCTTTGAACAATACAAATCAATCATAACAAAACAAAACTCCCCCCTCACTTTAGCCTGTATTATCTGTTTTTTTTCACTCATGTATTAATAGTTATTATTTTCAACACAGCTACTCTATTAGTACTGTGAAGCTACAGAGAAATATAAATAAGAAATCTATGTCATCATCCCAATTAGAGATACAAGAAACTGTGTATGCAATTTGAGTGATGTCCTTGTAGAACCATTTTTCTAACTAAAACTCACTCTGAAAAGCACATGGCATCTATGCTCTCTTTAACTCTCTAAAATTGGCTTCTTCCTCTAAGTCCATCAAACTGTATGCCCAAATGGCACCAACAAACTTCTAATAACCAAATTCCAAAGTCTTTTTCCCTCCTCAGTTCTCATCATCCTTGCCTTCTCTAAGCTTTGACACTGTTGACTCTACCTTCTGAGACTTGCCTTCCCTTACGTTTTTCAAATGCTTCACTAACCTGGTCTTCGTACCTATAATTACTGCTCCTATATGCTTTCTGTGGTGCTTCCTCCACCCACCTAATAACCTGCGTGTTTCCCAGAGTTCTGGCTCCATCTCCTATTCTTCACTGTATTTTAAAAGATCGCATCCATTCCCAAAGCTTGTAACTGTACAGTCATCTCCTAGACCTATACACCAAGAGTTAATTCTGTAACTCCCACTGCCTATTAAATATTTCCTCTTGGATTTTATCTCAAATCATCAATAAGACTAGTGATGCCAATTTTCTGTTTTTGAATATATATGTATAGATGTATGTACAGACAAGGATGACTACATATGGGAGTAATGTTAGCAAACTGTGGTTATCGACGCATGGAAAAATTATTCTAATTTTACCTTTTCCTTATTTTTTTTTGTGTGTGTGTATGTGTGTGTGTGTGTGTGTGTGTGTGTATTTTTTTGGATATAGGGTCTTGCTCTGTTGCCCAGGGTAGAGTGCAGTGGCATCATCATAGCTCACTGCAACTTCAAACTCCTGGGCTCAAGTGATTCTCCTGCCTTAGCACCCGCCCCCAATAGCTGGGACTATAGGCATGAGGCACCCCACTGGCCCTGAATTACATTTTTATGACGTTCATGATAAAAAATATGTTTATAATAAATGTTTCCTTTTTCCAAAAATCAAAATGACTAAAACCCACCCTTGTCAACTGGCTCCTCTGACTACCTTCACGTCTCTGTGGAAGAACATAATTTCTATTGCTCTCCCTTTCCAAACCTCCTCTACCCCAGGTGACTCAGGAAATACTTCCTTAAACAGAAACCTCAGACAATGAAATCCCTCCCATTACCATCCATATCCAATAATCTTTCAAGTATCAGCTTGAAGTTGCTCCACTATAAATGCCTAGTCTGAACAGATAATTGGCTCCCTCCTACTCACAGAACTTGTACAAATCTGAGACAAGTAATCACATATACCTTAGACTCATGTGTCACATATTTTTCTAGATTCTAGAAATACAGTGACTACCACAGGTAAGGTCTAGGCATTCACACAGCTTATATTCTCCTGAGACAGACAAAAATTTAAAAAATGATTTCAAGAGGTATTAAATGCTAAGAAGAAAAAATAAATAGGAAGAGGGGATAAGTGATGGGGTTGTGTTTTCACTATGAGGGGCTCCCTAAAGAGGTAAATTTGAGCTGAGATCTAAGAGAAAATTAAGTAAAAAATCCGAGGAAATTGAGAAGAAAGAGCATTCCAAGCTGAGGGAACAATACAAAAGGCTGTGAGATGCGAGTACCCTTGACATATCTGAAGAACAGCACACTGGCCAATGGCTGGCTGAATGGATGTTGACAATGGAGGAAAAAGAGAAAATGGGGCCAGAAGTCAAACCATGGCTAGGAATTTGTCCTTTATTCCAGTTGTTTTGGGAATCCATCAGACAGTTTGAGGCAGACAAATGACTGGCTATGATTTATGCTCTAAAAGGAACATTCTAGCAACTGGGTAGAAAATAGATTGTATGGAGAAACAGGCAGACCAGTCAGGTTAACAGGGCCATCCAGGTAAGAGATGATGGTGGTTTGGTCTAGTAGGGTGATAGCTATGAAGGTGGTGAGAATGTGAGACATGGTGATTTTTAGGTTATATTGGATTCAAATCTACATTTTAGTTACTTTGAGCAAATTTCTTATTCAGTGAGTCTCAATTTCCTCATGTGGGAATAACACCAGCAAGAGGGTTCAACTTCCATGCAAGCAGAGAGCCCATGTCTTGTTCCTTACCTTATACCCAGCATTGAACACAGTGCCTGGGACATAAGAGCCACTCATGTATGAATGTATGAACATCTACCTCATATTTGCACATTAGATCCCAACCCTTCTCTCCTACTCAAGGATACTTGCTCCAGCAACAATTTTATCATAATTTTCCCTTTCTACTGGATCATTCCCATCAGCACACAAGTATTCTATATTTTCCATTAAAGATTTAAACAGAACTATATCTTGACTCCATAACCCCTTTCAGCTATTGCCCCATTTCTCTGCTACTCTTTGTAGCAAAATTCCTCAAAAGAGCTGTATATACTTGCTGTCTCAAATTCTTCATCTCCCATTCTCTTGACTCTCTGAATCTGGTTTTCACTACTATTCTTGTCATTAATCATTAGTGACAAGATCTCCATGTTGCCAAAACCAAGAGTCAACTCTCAGCCCTCATCTTAACTGGCAAGTTTGATATAACTGACTAGTCTCTCCTTCTGTGAAAATTTTCTTCAGTTGACTTCTGGGACCCTAGACTTTGGATTTTTCTCTTACGTAACTGGCTCTTTCTTCAGTCTCCTTTCCTGGTTCCTCCTCATTTCCCCAAACTCTAAATGTCAGAGAGCTGTGGGGCTCAGATCTCAAAACTTTTCTTAAGCTACCAAACTTCCTTGGTGATTGCACCCAAACTCACGATTTTAAAATACCGTTTAAATACCTCCCA